AGGGTATGATCGCCGATATTGTCACCCACTTGCATTCAGATAGTTTGGACTTGAAGACTGAAGGTAGTACGGCGATTTACAAGTGCGCCTTCGATCAGACCACACGTGATTTGGTGCGTTCCGCTGGCGGTCTGGAGCCACTTGTCGCCATCATCAAAGATAAAAATATACGAGATAACAAGAAATTAATGACTGGCGCTGATGGCGCAATTTTGATGTGTGCTGTCTCCGAAGCAAATGTAAAGAAACTCGACACATTACGACTCATCGATCATCTTGTGCCGCTGCTGAACGATGATTCAGATGACGTGATTACCAATGTGGTTGGCGCCATAGCTGAATGTGTGCGTTTCCAAAATAATCGTGAAGTGCTGCGTACAGCTGGCGGCTTGCCAGCATTGGTTGCGTTACTGAACTCCTCGCATGCGCCACTTTTGGTTAATTTGGCCAAGGCATTGAAGGAATGCGCCGAGGATGCTGAAAGTATGCGCATACTAGAGGAATTAGATGCAGTGCGTCTGATTTGGTCATTGCTGAAGAATACCGACACACAAGTGCAGGCGTACGCTGCTTACGCCATATGTCCATGTGTGCGCAATGCGCATGAATCGGGTGAATTGGTGAGAAGCTTGGTGGGCGCTATGGAATTGGTTGTGGATTTGCTGAAGTCAACCGACACGCATGTATTGTCGGCGGTGTGTGCCGCTATAGCAACAATTGCGAAAGATTCCACAAATTTGGCAATTTTAACTGATTTGAAAGTAATCTACAAGCTAGCTGATTTGGGTGAGTATTTGTGTGTTTGTGGCAAATTTTAGAGTTTGGTATTAAAGGCTCCACTTCGCACACAGTTAATACCAACGAGGACTTGTTGCGTGAAAATTTGGCCGCCACTATCGCAAGTTGCGCTACTTATGGCAATAACACACAAGAGCTGGGACGTTTGCGCACTGTCACGCCCATTTTGCTACCTAACCAGCAATGATCCGGCCGTGCATCGCACCACAGCCATGGCGCTGGAGAAGTTGTCGATGGATCCACAAAATTGCATCATTATGCATCAGGTACGTGGGTGATTTTTTTGATTTCGTAAGGAAGATTCTCTTGCGTCAATTTTCTTTTCAATACTCTTCTTCTTTTCAGAGCGGTGTGGTACCATTTTTGCTGGAGTGCGTTGGTTCCACCAACAAAGAGACACAGCTGGCTGCTGCTGGTTGTCTGCGCAACATACGTGAATTGGCTTTGCGTGCCGAGGAATATTTGTTGAAAATCGATGAGGAATATTAAATTGATTGCGCTTTCTGAACATGAACGCGCATATACTTTTTTGTTATTTTTGCGCAACAGTTTTTCACAGACTGCAATAAACTGCATTCCGCCTTCCACGCCTCCTCGCAGCATTAAGTTTTCTGAGCCACAGTTAGGTCCCAAAACTTTCGTTTCATACACGTCGTTGTTCACTGAGCTACGGACAAGAATACATTACGTGCTCTGCATCTTCTTGGCCCTCCGATTCGCGAATCTCGGAAAATGCATCTTCTTAGCGCCGGAAGCAATGGACATAACTTTTAAAGCAGCCATGCCCATTGATGATTTATGTAAGCTCGTAGTATATCTCACCGTGCTCCCTTTTAAGCCATGCTGCAAACTCAGAAATGAGCCGATGAGTCCACCTTTGAAACAGCAAACACTGCGGTTAGTATTTGGACGTCCTCGTTTCGCATCAAGCTAGTATTGCTCTGGTGTGGCGACTACAAGAGCTAATATTCCTGCTGTTCCTAGAGCAGACTCTTCCGTGCCCGTTAGAAATGCACAGCATACGCGTAGAGCTCATCGACGATACGTGGAGTTAACACTTCGAGCGTAGGACCCTCGTTTAAATGCCTTAAACCATATCGTGAAACCATAGAATGCTCTTCCTACACTTTCTAGTAGCTGTCTACATTGATGGCGTGGTCAACTAGTATTTGCCATAAGTCTGGTTAGCGCTCTGGTCGCCACTGTGGCGCCAGAGGTCTGTCTGACTGATGCCGCCTTCTTCTGTCGCTGTTTTCGATTATTCGCCGCTGTAGACTTTGGTTGGGACCTCCACAATCCGTGCCCCTAAGAGATGGAGTTGTGCTCAGTGACTCAGTCAAATTGTATTTATCTTTTTGTTTGAGTTCCTGGCCATAGAAAAATAGAAGGTAATGAGAGAGCATAGTAATTAATCAAAGTGTGTGAGTCCAGAGATCAAGCGGAGAATAACTCTTTCCAAAAGGTGCTACTTTGGACTCGGTAGGCATAAAAATACGATTGCGCTGGCTTGAGTAAGCTGTACGCAGGATGATGCTCCGGTGAACAGATCTTTGGACTTGGTTTGGTATGGGTGGCCAGCAAAATCATGGGTGGCCAACGAACGCAATGTAAGCACAAGCAGAGAGACAATTATCGAAATTTTTTGGTCTTATCCGACAAACGGTTTTAGGGCCAAATAAGAAGAAAAAAATGCTGATTTGATGGCAGTTCATCGGGTTTTCAAATATACCACAGAACTTATGTAAATGTGTTCCTACTTATGCTCAGCAGGAAAGTCTCTAGAGCGTATGCAGATCTCCAGCTCCTCTTTTCATCCCAAGACTGGAGCAAAGGCGTTCTAGCGAGTCCCTATGTGCCCTACGTAGGCTGCTTATGTTCGTAGTTTTGGTTAGTTGAATTAGTTGCTTCAAAGATTTATAGTCAGAGGATACGCAGCAGAGCTTAATCACCGAAAGCTCGATTGATGATTTGGTGGAGAAGTCCACATCAGCCTGTAAGGGCGCCCTGAAAACCTTATGCCCGCTGAGTGGACCCTCGGGCAAAGTCCGACCGAAATGATGGACGTCGAACAGGTGCCTTTTCAGTAAAACCAGGAAGAGTGGACAACACTCCGACTGGGAACTCTACGTGGTCGGGTATCTATAAATTTGACACACATTGGTCAGCTGGCTGCGGACTTGCTTTAAATCCTGGAAAGACAAAGTTTGTACTATTCACTAGGAGATACAAAGTGTCTCAAGCCCTCAATAGGGGATCTTTCACCTGTCCTCTCTGAGAGGGTCAAGATCTTGGGCGGGAAGCTACCGTGGAAGCTAAATATTTAAAAGTAAAAAAGGTTCAGTGGCGCTTTACTGCTATAAAATTGCCATGGGGAAGAGATGGGGCCTTTCTACAAAGGTGATATACTGGCTGTATGGAACCATAATCAAGCAAATCATGTTATATGGGGTAATTGTCTGGTGAAATTCACTGGAAAAGTTTACTCTCGTTATGAAGCTTGAACGCGTGCAAAGGGCGGCCCTCGTTGAAATAAGTGTAGCGCTTTGGACAACTCCTAAACTAGCGCTAAATGCTATGCTCAGTGTCGCACCTAATGACATTGCGGGCAAAGTAGCGGTGATTTGCCCAGTCATTGGGCAAAAAAACTCCGGGTTCTCTTCCAACCCAGCGTGTGCGGGCACTCGATAACTCTCAAATGATTCGACTTATTACCGGAAGAAATGGATCGGAGTGTTCCGAGGCTGGTTGCAAACGGATAATTTTCCAAGCACACCTCTGTAAGGTGCGAATGGAAGAATGTTAGTCTCTGAAGTAGAGGCCCAGTGAATATCTTCACCTACGGATCGCTAGACGGGACAGTTGGAGTAGGTATCTACTGTCAGGAACTCTCAATAGATATTAAGCTAAGACTGGCGGATCTCTGCAGCATCTTTCAGGCAGAGGTGGCCGCTATAAATGAGGCAGACGATTGGCTATGGACCAATGTATTGCCGACAAGGAAAGTAAATATCTACTATGATAGCCAAGCGGAAATCATGGGGCTGGTATCGCTAATGGTACGATCGAAACTGGTCGGATAATGCGTGACCTCTCTCAACCGGAATAATCGGAATACATCAACCTCAAGCTGATTTGGATCCCAGCTCACAGTGACATCACTGGTAATTGCAGGGCTGAAAAATTGGCTAGGAAGGGAACCCTCGAGGGAGGGACGCACCTCGGACAGGGAGGGTGTAGGAGTTCCATTGGAAAACTGCGGCTAGCTCATGAATAGATGGGCTCATAGTCCGCTCAGCTAGCGCGAGGCGAAAACTCCGATATGCAATGTTGCAATGTTATTTAGCGGCACTACTAACTCCCGGCTAGCTCGGTTTGTCCATCAATCCTAACGGTATGCCCAAGAATTTGGCTATTTAGACGGGTTCGGACCAAGAGGAGAGGACCTTCTGGCCGGCTGTTGGTCGCGGGCGGTCAAGGGAGCCTCTGCAGCTGGCTAAGCGCCAGCTCTCGATTCTTACAGGTTTATTGACCGGATATTGTACTTTAGGAACCGAACGCGGTGCGACTTAATATCGTCACGGATCGCTACTGCCGCAGCTAGACTTAGACACTCCCGAAAAGCTCTCCGGAGTGAAGATCAACTGCTTGCGGAATTTTATATTGAGCATCCAGCGCTTCCCTTAGTTTAACACAGAGCACCTGCAGCAGGTTAAAATAATTTGTGTAATGTGGTAATATAATGGACAATCTAATAAATGCCTAAGTTAGTACCTTTGTAGGGTCTGTCACAATAACCTAGCCTAACGAAGAAGATGCTCAACCAATAGCCCAAATGTTTCCTACCAAATTTTATCACACTATTATTTTGACATTAGGATTCTCAATTAAAAACAAAATTTAACCTCAAAATATATGTATAAGATTTCTTCAATATATTTACTAAAGTGCATACATATGTACATACATTAATTTATGAACATACATACATACTACATTCAATATGAAACCTTTAATAAATATTTAGTCTATATATACGATCAGTACATAAAAAATACATGTATAAAATATGCATTTGTATTATACTTAAAATTTTAATAGGTACATATATTTATTTAATTAATAATTGTAATTGAAAATTTGTTGATTAACCCTTCTCAATACAAACACACCACAGATAAGTCTAAATTTTCCAACAATAAGCGTCATCTTTTTTTATAGCACAAATATAGTTAAAAAAAATTTCATTGTACATAAGCAAGACTTCGAAATTTTCTAAGCAACAAGCAATACAAGTTTTTATACTCTTAAATATGTAGTTTTAGAAAAAGAAGTCGCTGCACTGAGTTCCCCCAGCACTTAATCACTAGTGAATAGCTGGCGTTGCTGCCGCGTGTCGAAATACTCATACGCCGTTCGACCCGATTGGTGTGTGGCAACAGACAGCCGGGCGGTGGGTAACGCCAGCGACGCGGCCGCGACAACAATGTGCCATCTGTGGAGGCTCTACTGGGGAATGGTGCGTCGATGCCGCTGCGTGGACTGCATAAGCTGCCAGAGCCAAGCTCGTCGGTGGACTCGGTGTGATCGTTCTCCTCGAGGCAGGCGTTGCCTATAGGGTTGTTGCAACATTGTTAGGAACTTCTAGGTACTTGCCTCTGTTTGTACAACTTACCGATTATGAAGAAGGATCTGCGTGTTTCGTTGTGAAACGACGATGAATCGTAGAAAGAACAACCAGAGTCCGGGCTTAGCGCCGAATCGGATGCATTCTGTACATCGCTGGTGGAACGTTTCAGTTTGGGAAATTTGCTGAAGACGCGCCAAAAACGAAATACATCGCGGAAAACTGCTTGCACCTGAGGAATGGTTACTTAGCATCTAAATATTAAATTTTTCATAAATTTAAAGTACTCACTTGATTTACACTTTCTCTCACAGAAATCTTATGAAAGCAGGCACATGATAGCACACGAAAACGTCGTTGACCCTCATCGATGTTCATCATGCGATCGCCCGTTTGATCGGTTTTGTTGCCAACCAAAATCACTGGCACATCGGAGAGTGAATCCTGAGGAGAGGTAAATGCATAAATTTAGTTGATTTGGTACTTTGGATACTCCGCATTTATATATGGATATCATTTTCAAATAAATTCACTACCCACCTTACTATTTGATCCTAGTTTACGTCGTCGTTTATTGTAGTTAATCAAAAATTTCAGCCGATTACATTCGTCGAAGCTACATTTATCCGTAACGGAGTACATTAGTATAACTGCGTCCGCCCAACGTATGTTCGAGTCTAAGCTGACACAATCCTCTTTCTAAAAGTAGTGAATTTGAAAAAAAAACGTTCATAAGTAAGATCTCGTTCAGGGTACGAAAATAAACTGTACAAAACAATTCCCATTTGCTCATCGATCATCATATCATTTGTGGTTTTGTACAGTTTTATACATAGTCAGAAACAAATTGTAAGATTCACTGTCATTTTCCCCAACGAGAAACGTTTGCTTTTCGTTTGTGACAATTGTACCATAGGGTACGTTTTATATGTATGCAAACGTTTCAATTACGTGAAAAATAATTTTTTCTGTAAATTTTCATATCTAATTCAATTAAAAAAAATTTTGATTTTTTTTATATATTGCAGCCATTCGTTTTGTATTTAGTTATTGCATATATGTACATACATACATATATTTTCCCTGCACGATTCATTTCGTTTGCGGTTTCGTCTGTAACTACTAAACTACTGTAGTGTACTATCGCCAAAGTGAACTCAGCCGTATTGTTTTGTATTGTACCGAACTGTTGAAGTAATAAACGAAACGAAATAGTAACGTACAATATAGTTTATTTTCGTACACTGATCTCGTTATTGTCCAAAAACTATCGACGAATGCTGATAAAATGTCTGTCGTTTTGGTAGATTGTTTAAGATCTCTTACTTACATTTGGTTGTCCAGCAGCATCCAATATATCAAACTGTATAAGTTCATTGTCAAATGTTGTATTATGTGTATAGATCTTCTCCAGATTAGGATCGTATTCACCAATGAAAGGACGTGTAATGAATCGCACCACCATAGCTGTCGCAAGGAAAAATATGAAAAGAACATAGGGAAAGGAAATAACCAATTATTTCTGCGAAGTACTTAACTATTTCAAGTTACATAGATAAAAGAGTTTAAAGTCAAGATCTATAATTCGCACCTGATTGGCCAACTCCACTTTGTCCTAGCACCATCACTTTTAAGGATTTATGTTTCGTGGTGTGTATGCACAATTTGGCTAAGGAAGATTTTGGTGATGTGGTATTCATTGTGAAGAAGCTCTGTTCAATTACCTAAAATAAAAAGATTAAAAAATATAAGTTCTATATTGGTATTTGTGATGTATACGTTCCTCAATCACAAGTTTTTTTTTTTAAATACAATTTAAAAAATTTATTACTTTTAGATTTGTCTGATTTAATATATATGTGAGTTTTAAAATTAGTTTATCGTAAATTTTAAATAGTTTTATTTCATGGTATGTTTAAATGCTTTCAGATATTGAATTTTTACTCATATTCATAAAAGTTGTGACTACTGCGATTACTGAAAAAATATACCGAAATCCCGGGATCACAATTTTCCGCATATTTTGGCATCCTTAGCTCGCACATGGCGTATGAGTAAGATTCTCATCTCGTCTGGGTAACTCATACGCCATGTGGATACGTAGGTGACACCAAATTCGTAATCAGCGACCACAAACACACCCTGAGGAAAAGGTTTCACGCGAATCGGATCGGTTTTAATTAGAGTTGGGGAAAAATGCATTAATTTTGCTTTACCACAATAGTTTTTCATTAAAAACGGCCTCAAGCTCAATAAAATTTGTTGAATATAATTGTTGCTAGTGAACCCGCATGGCGTTAAAACGCCCAAAATTTAATTTCAAAAACTTAAGAAATATTCCCAATGTAAGTCAAAGTTATAAGAGATCCGAGTGCCATATTTCAACAAAACCGCGCAGCCGCTTAGTCGCAGTCGCATAGTCTATGTTTTGTATTTTCATCGAATTTTAAACCACGCTATACCGATGCAAAAAGTTCTCAATTAAAAAAATAAAACTTTACTATACATCTGCAGGGCTAAGGCCTCTAGTTTGACCTCTCATTTTTTAAATTCCTTCTCAAAATAAAATCTTCTTAAACCTCTTTCATCAGACATTGTGATACACATGTATTTCAATAAACTGATGAACTAATTTGAATTTGATTGTTCGAACAAATGGTAACCCTCCTAATAAAACCTAAATAAAGGTCAGGAATAAATCGCAGGTGGAGAAGGACTTGGCTTCACCCTGCATTTCCAATTGGCGTCAGTTATCACAGAAGAGAAATGACTGGCGTGCTTTCCTGAACTCGGCCCAAATCGCTTAGGCGGTTACAGCGCCAATAAAGGAGAAGAAGAAGACAGCAGGAGTACAAAAACAAAAATTTACATGTATTTTGTTTTTGCTTTGGCGGCACAATTCAAACGAAATTTTTCAATTTGGCATCAGAAGCCGTGAGGCGAAACACGTACACAAAATCAGCTGGTGGTTACTACCACCATATATAAATTCGTCTTGAAAATTTCAAAAACTATCGAAATCCGGGAGATTCTATAAATTTTGGTAAAATGAGAATATTTTGAAATGTAAAAAATTATTGAGATTTTAAAAATGTTTATATTTTCCAAAATTTTGAGAATTTTATTTATCCTAAAATCCATCCTAAAATGTAAAAATGTGAAACATCACAAATTGTCGAAAAATTCTTATGTTCATGTACTCGTGTCTAAAAAATTGAAAATTCTTAGCATTCTAAAAGATAGTAACATTTTAGAAAAATTCCAAAATTGTTCCACTTTTCTGAACTTTTCCAAAATTTTGTATTGATATAACAAAGTTTGAGAATTTTAAATTTTTTGAAAATTTTGAAAACATCAACGTCCAAAAATTTTTGATTCTTCAAGAATTACGAAAATTTTTTAAATTTTCAAAAACGACAAAATATGAAAATGTTTTTAACATTCGAAAACTTTTAATATCGTTTGATCAATTTTGTATGTATATTCGACACTTTTACTTAGAAAAAATTTGTTAGAATTCCTACAATTCTCAAAATTTTTGAAAAATAAAAAATTTATAGAAATCTAGTCTGTTGAATTAATTGAATTATTGTGATTTACTAAAATTTCTCAAATTCACAAAGTTTTGAAAGTTTAGAAAATTTTGGAATTCCACTCAAGTTATTAAAAAGGGGAAACTTCAAGAAATTAAAAACTATCAAAACTCTAAAAATTTTAAATTGCGTTGATTTTTAAATTTATATACACGATATATGTTGAAAAATGTTTCCCCCCCCAAGAAATGCTGCTGGGTCCGCCCCTGCATATGTGTACATACAAGTCCAGTCAGAATTCGACAGGGCGTATGAGCAGCATCTGTACTAAATTAAATATTCCCAGCCATGGCCGCTGTAATCTTTGATTAACCAATAAAAAAAACCTTTCCCTGAACTACACTCGATTTTGTTGTGCATTAAAACAAAACTGGCAAAAGCCATGTATACATTTTTGTATGCACATATGTATGCATGTACATATATGTATATGCACCCACTTTTGCATATCTGCCAAGTATCTCCATATCATATGTAGATATCCAAGTATTGCCATGCATATTACATTTAGGGGATTCACAAGACGTGTTAACCGTCGTAAAATCTTAAGCTTAACACTTGTTTATGTAAAATAGCGGTTAAAATGGTTGGGGGTTGGCTAATTATATATTCTTTATCAGTTTAAAAGAATTTCGGTTTAGTTAGAAATCCCCTAAAACCATTTTAATTAAAAAAGATGTTAACCTTAAGATTTTACGACGGTTAACACGTCTTGTGAATCCCCTAATTATATTTGCCATTACATCTGCATGAGTATACCAATGTTATAGTGTTCCAATATTTACCACGTGCATACATACATACGTACATACATATCCCATTGAAGTGCCACATGTGTCCTCATTTGCACTCAGATATGAAAAAAAATAAGAAAATGAAAAAAGTAGTTGCGTTTTTCATTGATTACTATTAAATTGTCTCCTATGCCAGGAATAGAACCGCGAGACAAATATTAAAGAAATATTGTATGTATGTGTCTACACAAGTGCATATGATTGTGTTAACTGTTTGTTGATTATTACGCACATACAAATATATATGTACATATACATTAGGGTGCCCATCGAAAATGTTTTTTAGAAATTTCAAGATCCTACCCCTAATTTTATTCGTTTATATGATAAATACTATTGCCTATTTTTAAAGATTTTTTAAAGGTTATTTAGAGGTCGCGACCTGTCGATTTAGGTCAGAAAATACGATTTTGTAGATTTATGAGATTTTGAATGACTATTTTTGATTCGATTTCAAAGATCGAATATGATCTGAACTATATTGAAATATTGAATTGAACTAGCAAAAACATACATATATAAGCAACTCTCAAGGGTTGTTACATTTATGCTGGCACGCTTATCTTAGACAATGCATTGTCTTCCGTTTTACGTAAAGAAGAAGATTCTATTACGAAATTGTATATAAATAAAAATTTAAAAAAGATATACTAAAAAACGTAAAAATAATAGCTCCTGATCATATACCCGTAGTTGTTTATGTAACGTATACGCCTCGTAGCATCATACACAGTCAGATACCACGTTTACTCGCACGCCTTAACTTAAAAGTCATATATGTAATTTAAAAGTAATTAAATAATGGCGTGGAAGATTTTTACACAGTATTCCTTATGCACATAAATATTACTTTCTTTATGTATATAGCAATGTTAGAATTAATGTTCGAGTGTGCTCATAAAAATTGAAAAAAAATGGTATTTTGGTTTCTCAAATCATAGTCACATTTTACACTATGTAACTTTTTTCATTTGGTGGGGCACTAGTTTTATTCGTTCGTTTCGGCAAGAAGAACATTTTCATCAATTAATTTTAACATTTTAAAGTATCATTAATTACTGAAATTAAAAAAATTATAAAAATTTCAAAAATTGCAAACTAGCTGTGACAGATTCCATGCTGCCATTTTTTTAATTTTGGTGGCACACTCTTGAAACTTCACAGATATGTTGCATTTGATGCCAAAGTCCATTGCTTCTAATATGAACATTCTATTTGAAAACTTTCCAAAATTATTAAAAAAAAACAATTATGATTTTTTCGAGTGACAATGAAAAATTGAGTAATTTCAGTAAGTTTCGGTAAATAAACGTTTTAAGGCTAAAATTGTTTTTTATTGTTCTTGTTTCTGGAACTCCATTGATTGAAATATATGTAAGAAGAATGCTTAAGCGTTTTTTTTTCTGGCGAGAGAAGGAAGTGACACTAAAAGCACAACTCGTGAGATTTGCTCATACAAACTAAATAGTATACTAAATGCTTTCCGATTTTATTGGCGTGACTTTAGAAAGAAGATTAATTGAAAGTACGCTTTAAGTAGCAGACTGGATCATTGGCGAAATTGACCGCCATGGGGATCGAAAGGCCTTAGAAACCACTCGCTACTCTTCAAAAATAGTACAGGAATGTAAGTTGAGGCTGACCTCTATTGCACGGTGTAATGAGCTTGAATTTGTATGGGTGTCAGGTCACTGGCACTGGTGTTCAAAGTAATTTTGGAGAAAATCATAGCGATTGGTGTAGAATTCCCGCACGCGAAACAACCTGTCTGTGTGTCCTGAAAGGACCTGACAGAGCGTTAACCTAATTACTTCTCAGGTAAAGAAGGAGTGATCAACGAAACCTGATAGCACTGATTATGGGTCACAAACTATGGGGACGACGTATGGTAACCATAGGCATCATCGACTATCCACTCTGTACATCGTGTTTGGAATATGAGAAGAGTATAGTCGTCACACAAACTGCTATGATTCATATAGTAGTCTGGTAAGTTTACAGAGCAGCAATTAATTCCCATCGCGCCCATATATCCCTACCCTCTTAATATTCTCTCTAGGCCTTAAGTACACTGGGCAATATTGCCTGAGTGCTTGGAAAAATTGTGTTTAAATATAGCAACTCCATTCCATTCCATCCCTTTTAACACATTTCTAATATGTAGACCACGCTGTGTTGCAAAAGATGGATAGTTTAAAAGGAAGTGTTGAGATGGTTCCACCTGGTCGTCCTCCAAGCAGTCGCTATCGTAAGTATATAATATTTAGTCTTACCGCGCGTATGCCAATCCGAAAGTATGCTGTCAGTACATCCATCAGGATGG